ATGGGGTACGACAATAATCCAGAACAGAAGTCCCGGCTAACAGTTTACCGAGGGCCATGGGGTAGAAAGCGGTCTGCCCTGGCAGGGCACCCAGGCGTTTTTCTTTGTGTTGGTGTTGATAAAGACAAAAAGCAGATTGACTTTTTGTGGGTTTAAGTATTGTTTTTAAATTCTCAGCAAACAATGCGTTTCCTTATCGCCCGCTCCTGGGGACAGCTGCTCCCATCCCTTCACTCTTGGTGCTCCATTGTTGTCATGCGACTCTAGAGGGAAGAGAAAGACAATGACACACAGTATAAAGTCATCAGTAAGACGAAGGAAAGTAAGCGTCAGGTAGGGGAGTAGAAAGTGACGGGTGGGAGGGGGCTACCATGTTAGACTGGTGGTCAGGAAAGCCCGCTAACATTTAATGTACTTGTTGATACTTCATTTAATTCTGCCATTTTATTATTTGTCTTTAAAAAAAAAAATCCCTTCTATTTCTTATTCCTCTGTAACTGCATGTGTGCGGTCAGCCCCACACATTGATGGATGGCTCAGGATTGAGCCACACACTTGGCTGGAGTTTATACACAGAGTTTGGAGTTTCCCCTTCTCTGCCTCCCATTCCCAAGGCTTCCCTTTCACTTTCAGTAGCTATGTTTGCCCGAGACTCTGTCCTCTGGTTCTTTAGATCTGAAAGATTGTGGGTTTCTGTTGGAGTTTTAACTATTCTGCGGTTCTGATTTCAGTTGGCCCCAAGGCTAAAAGCTTAAATAGATAACTCACCCCATGCCATTACCTTCTTCCAAGTGTCAGTGCACCTTCAGAATCTTCTTACTTTTGTCTACTTTCCAGTATCTTGAAGTATATATATATTATATATATATATATATATATAATTTTTTTTTAAATTTTCCAGAGTTGATGGTTTTATCCGTGGGAAGGTCAGGTCTGGTAGGAGCGCCCCAGTCTTACAGACACAGAGGAGCTCTATGTGATTCTTTGCATTCCTCATGTACCTGGTTGTCTGTTCTGTCTTTAATGGCAAACGCTCTCTGAAAATGTCTGGTCCTTCACTATTGGTTCCTGTTTAAGAAATTCTGTGGCAAGTCGTTATTCTCAAAGAATGAGTTTCATTGCAGAGTGATCCAGCAGGGGCTGGCCATTTCATTTCCTTAGGTGACTCCCAAATATCATTTTTCTCCCAAGGACATCCAATTTTTTGTTTTTAGGGAATAATCCTTCACTTTCTTACTATGGGAAGTCAGCTTGGATGCCTGCAAAGCTGAGTTGGAGAAGGGTCTCAGGGTTCAGCTTTTAGACTTTTAATGAATCCTTCTATTTTTAGCCCAGTAGCTCCATAGTCTCCCTGGATCCAACTCTCCAGAGAGTAAAGCTTTCCAATTTCTGTTGAGATGAAGGAGGACGTGGCCTGGCTGTACCGACTGGGGAGGCTGATGTAAGGGTTCACCTGTTCCCTAATCACACTTTCAATCCACCCCGGGAACACCCAGAACCCTCTCCGGGGGTGCTGTACACAGAGGGCTGCTTCCTGTCTGTGACAACAACGGAACGATAGAATGGGTTACAACAAAAAAGCAACGCTTGTCTCTAATCCTCAGGCAAGGCCAGCTTCCAGATACCCCACCCTATTCTGCGTCAGACTCCTGCTCTCCTCCACAGGTCAAAGGTGAGTGCGATGCGCCTCCCTCCCACACTGCTTGCTCTGCTCCTGTTCTTTGGGACTGTGCGTGGTGGGAGAGAGGCCTTTCTCACCTGAGTGTTCCCCCAGGTGCGTGCTGCCCGGCTCTGACGCCCGCAGCCGGGAGGACCATGGCTGCTTTCCTGCACGCCGCAGCTGCACCTGCGATGCTGCCTGCCCACCTGCCCCCCAGCTCGTCCGGAACCAGTGCCTCTGGCCATACCCACGGCGGCTTTCACAACTGCTACCCAGACACCAGTCATCTCGTGACCCCCCTGGACCAACCTGTGTCCTCCCACCTGGAGATTGGTTGTTCTTACC